CACTAGTTAAAAGTTACCTGTTGACTAAGAGGCAGACCCTGTCAGCTGTACTTACTGTTGTAATTATGCATTTTAACAGAATATTAAATGCTCTAATACAATATGAGTATAAAGGAAGTTGTGTCTATGAAAACGAGATAAAATGCTTTGGGAAGATTCAGTAAAGACATGTAGCTCATGAAAACTACATGTGAGAAGGCATAAAAGAGACAAACCATAAAAATTAGAGGAATTTTGCACTTATTTTGCCTTGCAAGTATCCTTTTCATCCATTTTAAGACACTGCAATAATTTTATAGATTATATGCTATGGTTCTGGTTTATATAAGAAAGAATGCATGAAACATAAGTCAGCAGACCTGTAAGCCAAACTTTTTGAAGGAGACTTTATGCACTTGCCCAGAGTCAGCATATGATCAGAGAAAAGAAGAGGACGAGAATGTTGGAGCTCACAAGAGACAGGTGCAAGTCTTCAAAGTGAATTGAATGATAGTGTTTAAAGATGTGCAAGGTGAATCTTAACCCAACAGGATTATACACCAGGGTTTTTGGTTGGAGAGATATGAAAGCAATGTATTCCCATTTTTTTTCTGCAAAGCTTTAGTTTCTGGAGACTCCAAGAAGCATAGGATAGAAGGAAGTGCCTAGTCTTTGGAATATGTTAGATGTGAGTTCAACAGCATAACTAATTGTCTGTCTTGGGGTGAAACCTCTGAATCTCAGTTTCCTCGAATTAAGATGGCATAGTAATACCTATATCATACAGTTTTTAAGGTATGTACAGTGTTGAGCACACAATAAGTTACAAAATAATTGCTATTCATTTTTGCCCCTTATTGGGGTGCTATTAAAAAGTGTAAGATATTAATCAAGAACGTAGACCAGGAGATGAAAAGGAACATTTACTCTCTCTGTCAGTTCTTAGACTAAGAACTTTTCTTACCCTATTTAAAGTGTATTGGCAAGTTGGGACAAAGCTTTCAAGAGTCTGTTTACTTTAAAGATGTTCAGTCTGGCTAGAAATAAAGAGAAGGAGCTGGATACCATGGAGATACTTTGTTGTAGCATGTTTTTTTATACGTTATTGTCCATCTTCCTCTGTAAGTATCAGATTCAATCCAATGTAATTTTGATTTTTATGAAATTCTGCTTAACACGTCATTCCATGTAGTTTATTTTACTTGCAGATTAACCGTAAAAGTAATGTCTATTTTCAGTAAAAGTAAGAGAATCAGAAGAACATATTATTCTTAGTCTACTAAATGTAACTTTTTAACTTCTAGATGTTTATGAGGTCTTTGGTGAATAATTCTTCATTCTAAAGCCTATTAAGTGTGGGAATAGTAAATGATTAATGAGAGAGAATGGCAACATAAAGTTTTTAAACACCCTGCCAGAGCCTCTAATACGTAATAAGTAGAATCAAGACGAGTAATGAGTAGTAAAAGAAATATCTTGTCCTCAGGGTGCTTATAGGACTGATTAGAGAGAGAAAACATTAGTAAATGGAAAGATGAAAGACAAAAAAAATTTTAGCAGAAGTGCAGGTAATTTGGGTATGAGAAAGAAGACTGGCGAAGTCAAAAAATAAAAGAATCAAGAGGAAGAATTCTTAATATTTACACTGTGACGATAATTTTGATAACTAAATGGATGACAAAACCTGAACTATACTTAGAGGTGAAAATTGCATATACTGTGTATACCTTAATCTTGTTATTCACTATAAGGAGTGTTAAAAAACAAATGTGACAGAACACCAGGATATTGCCGCCTTTTTTTTTTTTTTTTTTAAAGATTGGCACCTGAGCTAACATCTGTTGCCAATCTTCTTTCTTCTTCTTCTCCTTCTCCTCCCCAAAGCCCCCCAGAACATAGTTGTATATTCTAATTGTAGGTCCCTCTGTGGTACGCTGCATCAGCATGGCTTGATGAGTGGTGCCATGTCCATGCCCAGGATCTGAACCAGTGAAACCCTGAGCCACTGAAGCAGAGTGTGCAAACTTAACCACTCAGCCACAGGGCTGTCCCCAGAATATTGCCTTCTGAACAAATGACTTTGCAGTACATTTTCTTGATGTTATTGAAAACCTTCTTAGGAGGTTATAGATATTACCAAGTAAATGCAATTGGCATTCTTGGATTTATTCTTTTAAAAACATTTCCTGGGATCCTGTTATATGTCAGTCCCCATCCTAGGCACATATTTATATTAATTCCTTTACTCATAATGAAGAAGTATCCATTTTCAAGCTGGCAAGGGGAAATCAAATTGTTCATTTCAACTCTTAAGTTTAAAATGTGCCACATTGTCATCAGACTCTATATTTAGCTTAAGATTTTATTGAGTCATTTGTGATATTCATGAAATTGATGATATAGAAGTCAATTTTGTATACTTGTTTTAGGCCTTCATAATAAAGGTGTGGCTTTGCTGCTAGTTGTAATTATGGGGTTAAAAACAAGCACATGGTTTTATATCTCTAAATCAAAACTTTCAGCAAGGTATCTTGAGATTGTGTATTTACCAGCCTTGCTACATTTTTATTAATTAACATCACTGAGATTTATGAAAGACATATTGGTTCTAAAATATAAATAAAAAGGAGATGAATTAATTTACATATCATCACACAAAAATACAAATCTAAAATTAGAATCCTTTTAAGATTTGTAGGATCTAATCATACCAACAAATGGAAGCTATCTGGAACCAACCAGCCCCCACTCTTCAGCTGCCTTCTCCTGCCAGTGCTAAAGACACTCGGAATGAGTGGTGGTGTTTTTTTTTTTTTTTTTTTTGAGGAAGATTAGCCCTGAGCTAACTGCCTGCAATCCTCCCCTTTTTGCTGAGGAAGCCTGGCGCTGAGCTAACATCTGTGCACATCTTCCTCTACTTTCTATGTGGGATGCCTACCACACCATGGCGTGCCAAGCAGTGCCATGTCTACACCCAGGATCCGAGCCGGCGAACCCTGGGCCACTGAGAAGCAGAACGTGTGCACTTAACCGCTGCGCCACCAGGCCAGCCCGTGAATGGTATTTATAGTTTAGACATTTTCAGACTGGTTTCTAAAGAGTCCTAGGGTTCCAGGTACTGAGCAGCTATATAGGATTAAGATGGAGACCATCAACCTCTTTCCCATTCAGTCAAAGCATCTCTGATTTTATCTGGGGAAAAAAAGTTCTAACTAACATGTAACCTGTTTGGAAAATCACAGCTCTGTATAAAATATCCTGAGCTTATTTCTAAATACAAATGCCACCAAAGTCAAGGTCTTAATGATTATAGTCTCTCTGGGGGAGGTAGAGTCTGAAGGATTCTGGCAATCTGTTCATCATGGTCAATGGCCCTCAGATTCCTTACTAGAAATTGTGTCTACTTGTGGGCTCCAGAATTTAAGAGAAATGTGGGTAACTTGGAGAGAAGTCAGAGTACAGGCACAAAGACAATTACAAAGAATGAGACCTATGAGGAAACTAGAATTATTTTACTTGAAAAGGAGAAGTCGGAATGGCAGTTTAATAATGGTCTTCCAGACATTAGGAATTATTACACTGAGGTTGATGACTAGATTTCCTTCATGTGTAAACATAATAAAAGAAATAGAGTTTCAGCTTTAGCAAGAATATAGTACAGAACCAAAAGAAAAAACAAGAGATGCTCTAACCCTATTTAATCAAAGGAATAGATCACTCAGTATACTTTATGAAAGTTTTTTTAAAGACAATATGAATTCTTATCTGTTTTTTGTATTAGATATAATACTACTTGAAGGAACAGGGATGAATTAAATGAACTTTGTTTCTCAACCTTGTAAATCAGTGATTTATCTTTAAATTATATCATAAGGTACAGATTTCAAACAATTATTTTGAATTAGAGTCTCATAGCCTGATGCTGCCATGAGAGGAGCTACTTTCTAATAATGTTAAGGAAGTTAGTGGTGAGAAGGAGCATTTATTCCAGAGGTCGTGAACTCAGATATCTACAGGGGACTGTGGGTATCATGAAAGCGTGATGCTAACAGCATAGAACAATATGGAATTGTAGAAGTTATGGTGTATTAGAAAGCATGGGACCCATCTAAAGGGGGCAACCACTGCTGACTCAGGCCAGTTATCATCATGGTACAATGTGCCTGTCTTGCCAGATCTTTAGCCTTCTCAAGAAAAACTGGAAGTCTAGACTCTTACATGAATCTTTTTTTTTTTTTTTTTTTTTGACATTGACAAAATACTAAGATTTATCGAAATACTGTGCAGGCTGTAAGTGAGAAACCTTTGGTTTATCCTTTAGGTCACTCATTAACCACCACATTAGTTAACAGACAAACCAAACAGAACTGATTGAGCTCTAAAGCTTAGGAGAATTAATCTACTCAACCTTTGTAAGGCTTAATTAGGGTGCCTTCCAACTCTGAATCATTTGTTCTCCCCTTCCTTCTTCCCCGTTCTCACTATTGGGTGACTTATTCATACAGGTGTTGGGAATTTAAAAGAAACTTATTTCCCTTAGCAACATAATTTTATTTAGTAAAACCATAAATTCTTGGATTGAAGACAACTTTTGTTACTATAGTGAAGATGCTACTGATGCTATTAGATTTTTAGAGATGCACTTATATATGGCATAGACATGTCACTTTGGATCTTTGAACTAACATTTGCTTATAACATTGGCTGCATGAGGCATGCTTGACTTTAAAGCCTACTTACACTTCTACCGTTTGGTGACATGTTTTATTTCTCTTTTATAAAATATTTTCAAATAACCCACCTCCACCTTGGGTAAGGACAGCTGGATTTCTGAAATCCCCTTCCTTTCAGACAGGAGAATATGCCACAGATGAAGAGGAGGATGAGGTAGGACCTGTTCTTCCTGGCGGTGACATGGCCATTGAAGTCTTTGAGCTGCCTGAGAACGAGGACATGTTTTCCCCATCAGACCTGGACACAAGCAAGCTCAGTCACAAGTTCAAAGAGGTAAGCTGCTGATCTGCAAAGTATTTTTGTATACCTGTCTATTTCATTATTAAGTGTATATTTTTGTTTGAAAAATATATTAAGAATAATCAGTTTTCAAAAGAAAGTCTTTTAATAACAGATTGTCTTGAATTTCAAGTTAAAATTTAGGTAGATCTCATTCCACAATTGTTAATTTAAATGCTTATTTGTCATAGTGACAGCTTACAACTTATCTGTTCCATAATTCCAACTATACCTTAAATGTGCAGTCTTCACGTTATATTTTTTTCAGTTTTATGGAAATTTTGGGACCTGGGGATAAGCTTTCTTTAAGGCAGTGATTTCTAAAAAGGCTTTTTTTCCCCCCTAAAATAGTCAAGGTCCCAATAGGACTCAGATGACATACCCAAGTGGTTTAACTGAAGAAAGTTTAATGAATGGACTTTGAACAGAGTTAAAGATGGTGAAGTTCACAGAGTCTGGCAACAGCAGGAAGCTGTTACTGTTTTTTGGCTTAATAGGGGTAAAGGAGGACAGAGATTACCTTTTTTGAAGGGGGGTCATTTTACATCTGCAGCTTTATAAGATGCAGCCACTGCTAAAAACTCCATCCTGGGGGCAAGGAATATACCCAGACTCTTCTCTCTTCCTGCTGATACCTCCCACTGGCCAAATGTAGGCAGGAAGCCTGGGAGATGCAGATGAAGTCTGAAGAGGTTAGCCTCCTGAGGCAGGAGCTGTCAGAAATGGGCCAAGAATGGATCCTGAGCGCACAAATGTAGACAACCACATAAACTCTTCTTCCAAATTAACTACTCAGAACCCCAACATGTAAAACAAAAACAGTGATGAATGAGTCCCCAAGCAGTTTATTCTTCCTTATTTGTGGGAACATCCTCCATTGTTGAAGACAAATATATCATTATTTACAACCTCCCTACAATAACCCTGAAACACTGAGGCTTGAAAACCACTGTTCTGTGGTTGCAAGTGTGTTAGGACTTGACCACTTGGGGAAAAATGTTCTCCTGTACATGAAGAACAAGATTGATAAATGCAGAGTTCTAATTTCTAATTTTATTTATAATTTCTAATTTTGTTATATCATAAATAGTCCAATTATATCTGTTCTGATGTTAGCCTCATATGCCTAATCTATTGACCTACCTTTTAAATTCCTATGACAAATTTATATTTGTTAGACCAGTATCAAAGTGAATGTACTTTTCAAATATGTTTTTATGTAAAAAAAAAAAAAACATGTTTATTATAGACTTTGGGAAAATACAGATTTGTATAAACGCCAAAAAATCTTTCATAATCGCAATATAGTTGTATTTGGGATTATACAACATATACTGTGTTAAACTCCTACTCTTGATACTTAAAATTGTATTAGGGCTTTCCTGTGTCATCAGATGTTCTTCTGTAAGCGATGCTTATTCACCCTTTCATCTTACAGATCTTTTATAACTTATCTACTTAATTCCTTGCTTTGGAAAATTTTCTTTGTTTCCTGTTCTTTTTAAAATTAGTTTTAAAAGTAATGCTATAGTAAATATCTGTGTACTTACCCTTAGGATAATTTCTCATAGTGTAATTATTAGATCAAAGAATATGAGTATTTTGGAGACTTGTGGTACTTAATGCCAAGTTGCTACCAGGCTGGCTTTTCTTGGTGATATAGAAATTTACTTATGTGTTGAGAGGGCCCATTTCTCTTCCACCTATTATCATTAGGTCAGGTTGAACCATTTCCATTTATAGAGTTCACGGAGTCCTTTAGGCAAAATACACGGGTTTTTTACATGATTTATGACTATTCCTAGCTCTAAATCAGATAGGAACATGTTAGTGACAATGAAGTACACTATTATATGACGATCACAAAACTCAGAATTCCCTTACAGTAGGAGTGCCTATCTTAGGGCCATTTCTTATAAAGACTGTCTAGATTAACTGATGTCTTCAAACCAAAGAGCAATGCAGAGAAAGAAAGTTCTGGAGGAAGAGGCTGAGTTGGAGGAAGAGGTATAATCTGGGTAGCTGTTTCTCTATGGCTCTGATTTGGCCCAAGAATACAGATTATCTAGAAGAGTAGAAGGACTACTTGTTCTTGAAGAAATCTTCCTTGGATGTTGTTAACTGTCAATCCAACTTTGAGGCAGTGAGGTCAGGGTAGTATACCCTGGCCAAAGCCTCTAATAGAACTCTTTTGTGTTGCCACGTGAGTATGACCCCTACTCTTGGGTAGATAATTGAACTGGAAGTAGGGTCCACATTCTTTTATGGACGGTAAAGAGCTTAAAAAGCAGAAATAGTATATGGAAGTTATATCCTCATTTTTCTGAATTGAGCCAAGGACTCAATGCTCCATAAACATTGTTTGACATGTACACCATTGTGTAGACAACTGTGTGATCTAGACCAGGGGTCAGCAAACTATGACCTGTTGGCCAAATGTGGCCCACTGCCCTTTTTCTGTAAATAAAGTTTTATTCAAACACAGCCGTGAACATCCATTTATTTTTTGTTTGTGCTGCTTTCATGCTGCAACAGCAAAGTTGAGCAGTTGCACAGAGACCATATGGTCGGCAAATCCTAAATTATTTGCTATCTGGCCCATTATAGAAAATGGTTGCTGACCTTGGTATAGGCCACTGCATGATCTGGACCCATTCTATCTTACATGGCTGATTTATTTTTGACCTGAGTGACCAAATCTGTAGTTTTCTTTTAATTTTGGTTTTTAAGAATTAGAGATTTGTCCCCCCTCAAGAACAGGCAAATACCATGTCACTTCACTTCTAATTCTTTTATTCTCTTTTGTTTTATATTTAACATATATATGTTGATTTCTTCAGGAGATCGGCCCTGAGTACCAAGTGTGTGGCACTCTTTCACAGTGTTTGTATCTTGTACACTGCCATTATCACAGTTTTAAATTTCTTCGTGTGTTTAACATACATACCCAAATACTATATAACATCATGTTATTCACAAGATTATACACAAAACCTGGGGTGGAGGTGGAGAGTCATGTTGTATTGGAGTCTGGATAGAGTCTCGTGTTGTAGAGGGTTCTCTTAATTACATTATTTCAAGGAAAAGTAGGTGTTGTACTATTTGGACAAAGCACATCAGACTGACATTATCTCAATCAGTCTTACTTTTGGCCTATTATGTATCTTCCTACTAGACTCCAAGCTCCTCTGTTTGTGCTCACTATTATATCCTCAGTCTTTGCATGGTTCTTGGCATATAATTAGTGTTTAAGTATTTAGTGAATGAATGGTATCAAGCATATACTGGAATTTGTTGTGTAATACAAGACACGTACCTCATTTAGTTTTTCCAAATAGTTGCCAAGGTGGCTAGCGCTTTTGTTAAATGCCGTTTACGCATTTCCCTCTGACTGGAGGGCCAGCATTATTATCTGCAGAATGTGTGCCTTTACCCTCTGGGCTGCTTTGCACCTTCATATTCTGTTCCGTTTCCTCATTCTTTGGTGCAGTTCTGTTAGAATATATATTAAACACTGATGGAATAAATCAGATCCATCTAACTCTTCAGAAATTCATTTACTTTTCAACTTATTCAAGAAAACATTTAAATCACTTTATTACCCTTGAAAAACTTTGCAGTTTTTATTGTAATTACATTAAACTAGTAAATTAACTTGCAGAAAACTGGCATTTTTAACATGTTGACCCTTTCAATCTAAGTTTAAGGAATATATCTGATTGACTCATCTTTTTTTCTGACCCTCTCTAAAATTTTATCTCCTTTATTAATTACATAAACGTCCACCTATAAGTAACAGAAAATCTTAACTAGAGTGGATTAATCAAAAGCTGCCACAAAGATTATAGTAACTTCAATGTAAGTTAAGAAAATTTTTTTATTTTTCTATTTTCAGAAATGACTTTTATAAGAGAGAGTTAATGACTTGCATAAGGGTAAAATTTCTGTTCCTTCAAAATTTGTTATTACTCAGGTATAAAACCATCTATGCCTTTGTGAAGGAAGGTTTTAAAATACCTTTTATAATGGCTATTACTCTATTCAAGTTTTCAAGTTTTTCTTGTGCCAATTTTGGTATCTTGCAATTCTCAAGAAATTCATAAGTTTCCTCTAAGCATTGTATTTATTAACATATTTTTGTAGTATAATTTTTAAATACTGAAATCTTTAATATCTGTAATTAGTTACCCTTTTACAATTTTTTCTTTCCTCTATTTGAATATTTTCATTTTTTCTTACTTGTTTGTCTAGAATTTTCCCTGTCATGTTATCTTTTACATTTCTAATTGTTTTTTTAAATTAAAAAAATACTTATTTTATTATTTCCTATCGATCTTTTTATTTTTCCTCCTTTTTGGTATTAATTACTTGCACTTAGTACATTTATTTTTGATAACTCTTGCATTCTGATAAGTATATTTAAAGCTCTAATTTTTTTCCTGAATATTGCTTTAGCTGCAGTTCACAATTTTTGACATTTAGTATGCTGTTGTCATTCAGATGTAATTTCTGTTAGGATTTCCTCACAAAATTATTTAGTGGTATATTTTACTTTCCGGACATGTGGAACTTTATTTTGCTATTCTTTTGTTATTGGGTTCTGATTTTATCACACTCTGATCAGAAAACATATTCTACATCATAGCTATTTAGAATTTCTGAGACTTCTGTTGTAGCTTAATTCATAAATGATTTTGTTTCAATATTCCTCATATATTAAAAAAGCACACATATTCTGTGTTTGGTATGAAATTTGCATATGTTTTTCATTTACATAACTAAGATTAATAATATAAACAGGGGCTGGCCTGGTGGTGTAGTGGTTAAGTTTGCACGTTTCGCTTTGGTGGCCCAGGGTTGGCCAGTTCGGATCCTGGGTGCAGACATGGCACCTCTTTGCATGCCGTGCTGTGGTAGGCGTCCCACATATAAAGTAGAGGAAGATGGACATGGATGTTAGCTCAGGACCAGGCTTCCTCAGCAAAAAGAGGAGGATTAGCAGCAGTTAGCTCAGGGCTAATCTTCCTCAAAAAAAAAAAGGTAATAAAAACACATTTCTTCTCTATAGCATGGCATAGCGTGTTGTCTGCTTGATTTACTAATTCTGAAAAGCATGTGTTAAAATCACAAACTACAGTTGTCTTTTCTTCCTGTAATTCTGTCAGTGGTAGTTTTACATATTTTAAATCTTTGTCGTTAGCTTCACGTATGTTCAGAACTGTTACAACTTCTTGATTTATTGTAACACTTCTCTTGTCCCTTATGATGCATTTTTACCCCAAATTCTATTTTGTCTGATAGCAACAGTCTAACACTGGCTTTCTTTTGCTTCAGAGCATCTATTTTTTCCATCTCTTTGTTTTTAGCCATTCTGCATTCTTTTGTACAAATGTGTTTTCTTTAGTCAACCTATTCCTAAATCTCGTATACTACTCTGGGAGTCTTTTTAGTTAATTGGTGAGTTTAACCCATTTACATTTACTTTGTTCACTTTAATGTTAGAACTTACATCTGCCCCTTTATTTCACATTTTACAGTTTCCATGCTTTCTTCTTGTTTCTTTCATTGTCTTTTTTACCTACTTGCCATTGGATACATCAAATTTCCATCTGCTGCTTAAGTTATACATTTTTATTCTCTTCTTCTAGAGATTGCCCCTGAGTAACTTTGACTCAGTCTTAGGTTATTTTCTCCTAAGAGTGTAGAAAGTAGATCAATAGCTATGTCTTTACCATTTAACAAAATCATAGCCATCAGATACTGTCATCTGCTTCTCTTCCCCTCTCTCATTTTTATTTTTTTGGTATTTGAGGAGTTTTAGTTAAATACAACAAGTTACAAAATAATTAGTTCCAACTCACCTCTATTTCTTTCTAACTCTAATGGGATTTCAGTGCTGCCCTGATGTTAATTCACTATTGTTCTGGTACTGCTACTTTACCACATGGCACCAAAGGTTAAGTTAGTAGCTAGAATGTCCAAGCTTCAGGGTGATGGAATAGATTGTCCCTAATTTACCTCCAGATGTAGGCTTACCCAGGTCACATGTGGGAAATTCAAGATTAATTAGATTGCTGTCTCCCATTCCTGGTTGCTGACATTTTCCTGCTTCAGATCCTCATTTTTTCGAAATACATCTGGAAACCCTGTGTTCTGTTTCTTACAAGCTTTTTTATTAATTGATGAATAAGACCTTGAAGCCTATCAGAGTTCCTTTTTTTTCTCTTTTGGCATCTCCAAAGTTGAATTCAAGAGAGGCAATAAATAGCTTTTGTTAATTTGGTATGTTGTACTAAACTGGAAGTTTTCCCTTACCCAATTCAGTCATTACTACCTTTAATTTTTATTAATTCCATCATCCTGTTATCCTTAGGAATGGCTCATTTCTCTTATTGTAACTTCTGGAAATAAATGCTTAATTTATTGTAATACTTTATTGTTGAAACACAAAAGCACTTAGAAACTATGAATCTCTCTCTGGTTAGACCTTTGGCCACATCTTTTAGTTTCAGTGTGCATTCTTCTTCTTGTCATCATTTTGCAAGTAGTCTACATTTTCCTTTTTATTGTTTTCATTTCCTGTTTGTCTTGAATAATTGAGAAAACAGTTTTTAATTTATAACTTTTAAATGATTAATTAATGTCTTGTTACATTTTGGTCAGATAGTATTGTCTTTACAAGTTTTAATATTTTTTTGAAAGTGGTGCTTTTATTATGGATTAATATGAATATTTGTGATAAAAGTGATATTTTGTATTTTATGTCTTCTGTATCCTTATTCATTTTTCCTATTTAACCTTGTACATTGAGAGCCATATAGTAAAATTACATCTCGTGATTGTATTTTGTGTCTAATAGCTTTGATTATTTATTTCAACTCTATATTGAAAGCACATATAATATGACAAAGATTTTTTATTTTTAAGTATTCTTTGTCTTATGTTAGTAATCTTACCGCTATTTTGTTTGTAGTTGCTGGATAAACACACATAGGTGTATGTGTGTACCTACTTTTAACAGAAACTTAATTGCAGCACTTTGTTTTATTGTAAATTTTTAAAATGTTATCTTGAAGACTGTACCTTTTAATAAGAAAATTTAGCAACTTAAATTTATTGTTATAATGATTCAAGGTCTAATTGAACTCGTTTCATTTTATGCTTTATGCTTCTTTTATAGTTAGTGGTTTTTACTAAGGATTATCTTCAAGTTTTAAGAAGTATTCTCTATTTCTGTAATCTTTAAAATTAAGAACAAAATACCATTTGAATGTTTTATGTAGAAGTATTTGATACAATCTTGCTTTCTAAGACAAGGTTATTGTTAAAATTTAGTTACCACATTTTTTAAAACTTGTGTTCTCAGTTAGCTTTATAATAATATGTACAACAAATAGTTGCGCTTTCAGCTTACTCAGTTTCGACAATTATTCCCTTTCCACCAGAATTTCCACATTAATTCTTAGATTCTGGATTTTTCCTCATTTCTCAGAGTATATCTTTCAGTAATTTATCAAGTATTCATGGAGGATACAGTTTTCATGAGCTTCCCACATTGAGAATGGAACATTCTAATTATTGTGACATAGGAATGATAATTAGCTGGGTTTAATATTTTGATTCACAGCCTTTTTTCCTGAAAATGTTGTAGGGCAAACTTCACTGTTTTAAGCTAGCATTGCATATTGGAAAGGAAAAGTCTAATGCCAGCCTGGCATTTGGATGCTCGTATTGTGTTAGCCTTGTACTTTAAAATTTTTATCACAATTTCTTGAAAGAGGCCTCCTTTCATTGATATTTTTTCTTCTAATCATCTTTCCATCTTTTATGTTTGTGTTGTGTTTTGTTTTTGTTTTAGTCCATGAATATCTTTCTCAGTTTTTGTTATTTTTTTCTGTTTCTTTTCTAGGGTCACTTTGTCTTCAGTGTTAATTATCTTTTTCATATTTCCTTTTCTATTTTTTCTACGTCTGAGATTGTTCTCAAATGTGTCCTCTCATATCAATGATTCCATTTACTGTAGCATTAAATATACCTTTTTTTTTTTTTGAGGAAGATTATCCCTGAGCTAACTACTGCCAGTCCTCCTCTACTGAGGAAGCCTGGCCCTGAGCTAACATCTGTGCACATCTTCCTCTGCTTTATATGTGGGACGCCTACCACAGCATGGCGTGCCAAGCGATGCCATGTCCACACCCGGGATCCGAACTGGCGAACCCTGGGCCGCTGAGAAGCGGAACGTGCAAACTTAACCGCTGCGCCACCGGGCCGGCCCTGCATTAAATATGCTTTTAACTTCAAATTCATTTATGCTCTTTGGCACCTCAAACATGACTTAAATTCTCTTATTAAATTTTTAGTTTCCTTACTCTCTATCCATTCCTCATGCTTTCTCACTTTTTCTTCATCCTGTTATTCCATAGAGTTACCTTAAAATATCTTTTTACTTATGGGTTAGCATCATTTTCACAGGTTTCCTTACATGAGTTTTCAAGTTGATAGTCTCTTTATCTTGAACTCAAGTATTTATTAATAGGCTCAATTTTGCCTTTTTCTCCTTTATCTTGAAATGAGACAAAACCCTTTTTGTATTTGATGTTAGTCAGCAGTTATCCATTTTTTTATATGAATCCCGTTTCTAGATCTGCATCTTGAGGACATATCTATGTGCCTAGTATCTAGCTGGTTGCTATTTTCTGGCAGTCTACCATCTAGTACAGTTCTTTGTGCTAAGGTGAGATAATTCCAAATCTCGCCACTAGGTTCTCTAAGTTGAAGAAGAGAAAAGATTATTCCCTGCTATCAAAGCACTTACTGCAACCGCCCGTGACTAGATTGCTCTCCTGCAGCTGGAAGTATGCAGTGCGCCATTGTCAGCCACCTTCCTGCATTCTTTTCCTATTCTAGTATACTAGTTGCATTCTGAATGAATATGGAATACTAAAAGAGTTAGAAAACCTGGTTTGAGGATAGTTCCTGGGAAAAACAGTAGAGGTTGCCGAACTTTCTGATTGGACAGACTCAGCAGTGAGGGTGACACAGAGCATCTCCTATCTCTGGAGTGAGGCTTGGTTAGGTTTTCTTAATTCAACCTCATGACTCTTTCACATTCTAGTAACAGTTGTTTTTAGTTTTAGTGTCCATTTGGTTTTAAGATTTTCTTTTTTGATGTGATTTCACTGAAAACTTAGTGGGAAGTAGGAAGGGGCTGAATCGGAAACCGAGGGCCAGGTTTCGTTTAAACTACCTATCCGGTGTTTCCCTTCTACCACTCCTCTTCAGGAGGCATGGGAATTAGCACTCAGTACAAACAGTTCTACATTTGTCTTGAAGAAAAAATGGAGTCTAAAATTTGTGTTATTTTACTTATTTAAGTCATAGAGAATCTATGAAAAATAATGTAGAAAAAGTTATAAATGCATTAGATAATAAAATTGTCTTCATGGAAATTTCCTTTAACATGTAGAGAAGCTGTAAAATGTTACCTCCTTAGCAGTAAACAGATATGAATTTAAAAAGGAACTGTAATTACAGGATGTCACCTACATCCAGCACCTTAACTTATTAATAATCAGTGAGTACCTACTTAGAGAGTGACCTTGTTGGAGTATCTCGCCCTATGCTACATATGCTGCAATTAGTGTTCTCATTCAGATTAGATTATGATATCATTTAATCAGCTGATTTCAGCTAATTTTGCAGAAACTGTTCCCTGAAAAAAAACACTTTTGTGCACATAAAGATAGGGACCATATATAGAGCCTTGAGCGGAAATTATAAAAATATATGACATAGCTTCATTTTAACACCATCAAAGTATGGGCGGAAACAGCTCTAATTCCTTCTTTTGTGGACCTTGCACTGTCATGGGTAAGGCAGACTTCAATCAAATTCTCACAAAGATAATTATAAAAATTCTGATTCCAGTGCTGAAACCACTTTATAAAATTCTATGCAAATATTCAGTTATTATTTTGCCCTTGTAAAGTAAGAGCAGAGAATGTTGCTATCTGATTCTAAAATCTTTAGTACTAGAGCTCTCTTAAAATCTTCCCTGCAAAGATAATATTTTTTACTTTTTTTTTATTTTTTATTTATTTTTTATTTTTTCCTTTTTCTCCCCAAAGCCCCCCAGTACATAGTTGTATATTCTTCGTTGTGGGTCCTTCTAGTTGTGGTATGTGGGATGCTGCCTCAGCGTGGTTTGATGAGCGGTGCCATGTCCGCGCCCAGGATTCGAACCAACGAAGCACTGGGCCGCCTGCAGCGGAGCGCGTGAACTTAACCACTCGGCCACGGGGCTAGCCCCAATATTTTTTACTTTTTAAAGAAAAATGTTTTCCATGTTTCCACAGGATAAGTAGAGAGTCCAAAAGTTCAATCTTAGTACTTACGTTTCTGCATAAGGATATTTCTATTTCAAGCATAGTTATATTTGGATTATATTGATTTAATGATATGAGTACATGTTCTGTGTTCATCTTTTTGAAATAAAGAAACAGAAAATAATGCAGAATGTTAGATGAAAGGTACTGTTCTCTGTAGGAAGGCATATGTTTGTTTGTGCTGTAATCCTGGGGTAGATATCCATAGTATTCATGTTAAAGATGGTAGAAGAGATGAAGAGATTGGTCTTGTAAGTTAACAGACAGAGACCCGCAATTTTGTTTGTATCCTCCCTTCCCAAATCTTTTTCTCCAAGCCCAGATTCTCTGAAACCTAAAAGTTCCAGCAGGTATTTCAGGCTCTGTTTCTATTAACCAATCCTCTTGACCTCCTCTCCATGCAGTCAGTCAGCCCGACCAGTCTCAGGGGGGTGATGTGCAAAGCCTTGGACCTGTACTTTGGAAAGGTTATTAAACATGTGGACGCAGAACTGTAGAATAAGAAAACCCAACCTTTTACCAACTGTACTTCTTTTGTCAAGTCGCTTCACCTCTTTGAAAAGCAATTTTCTCTCCCTCATGAAATGGAGGTATCTTGGGCCCATCATGTCCACTCTGTCTAGAAGGTAGGGTCCACAGTTGGAATTATGACAAATAGGCCAAAGCCAAAGGGCATCCGACCTGGCTATAGGAGTAAGACTAATCAGGCCATCTAGGAGCAGCTTTCCTTTGACATTTCTCTCGGGATGGTCTGGGCCCTTCTCTCGGGAGGTTGTATTTATTAATCTCTCTGTAGTAAGTGTTCTCAAGTTAGATTCCATGTCCTGTTCTTGTATCCTCACTATGACTAACACATCACACACAGTATCGTTCAGTAAATGCTGGTTGAATAATGGAGATGTTTCTTCCTAAGTCCCATGAACAGTAGCAGCTGACTGAGCATCATTTTGTATTTAGTGTCAGAAAACTCAGAGACTATCTGAAGTAATCCATGGTTTCCAGTCGGAGCAATACTTTCTCATCTGGGAGGTGACAATGATGACATACATATGCCTCAGGGTTTTTGTGAGGATTAAATGAAGAATGTATCCCAAAGCTGGTTCAGATTAGACGCATGGTAAAGGGAGGAACAGAGCTAGGGGGAGTCAGACCTCGGAGAGTTTCCACTCCACCACCTGCTTCTACTGGGAACTTGAAGAAGCACCTACCTCCTCTGAGCCTCTTTCCCCATCTGAACCGTGAGGTTGGCAGTGCCTGTCCGGCTTCCCTCACAGACTCGTTTGCCGTGATAAAGGAGATGATGAAGATGATAAACAGGCCTACAAATGTAAGAAATTTACTATTGCTGGAAAGAACCATGGGCTGAGGTTTGTAAAACCTGGCTTTGACACTTGCTAGCTCTGCAGCTTAAGCTCCTGAAACACAGTTTCTTCCTATATAAAATGGAAGGGTTCAGTTAGTTTTTCTCAATTTTTTAAATTTTTACAGGTTGGTACCTGAGCTAACATCTGTTGGCAGTCTTCTTTTTGTTTTTTCCTTCTTCTGTTCCCTAAAGCCCCCAAGTACATAGTTGTATATTCTAGTCATGAGTGCCTCTGGTTGTGCTATGTGGGACACCGCCTCAGCGTGGCCTAATGAGCGGTGCCATGTCTGCGCCCAGGATCCAAACTGGCAAAACCCTGGCCTGCCAAAGAGGAGTGTTCAAACGTAACCACTCAGCCACGGGGGCGGCCCCAGTTAGTTTATTTTTGATGCTTTTCCTGTTAATAGTGATGGATTTATAGAAATTCTCTTAATGTGCATATAGGATTAAAACAGTCACATATCTATAACTTCAGGCCTTATGAGTACTAAGAAAACCTTGCACTAAAACTTTTGTCCATCTTCTGAATGCGCTCTGAATTTACTCACTTCATTCTTCTTTGCCGTGCCTAAGGAATCTGACTGTACTCAGTAACCTTCTAAGCTTTTGTCAGTGTTCTCACCTCACTACTAATGAGGTCAGCTCTCTTCTGTTATCCAGTTCGGTGAGATAGAAGGGGTGGGATAACTGAAGATCAACTTGGCTGTTTAACAGCTTTACCAAAGTTTGTCCCACATGTCGGTGGATTAGTCCAGCATATGCATTCATAGGAATGAAAATGCTGGCTTGGGACAGAAATTTCTAGCCTCTGCAACCATGACAACCTTCTCCAGGCTCTTCCTTTCATAAACATCACACCTGTAGTACTTGCAAGGGCCTTGGAGTTCCTCCCATTTAGCCCTCTTGTTTCTCATGTGGGAAACCAGGGCCCGGAGAAGCAGCTTGGGAGTGCTCACGGTGTTCTGAGCAAAGAAATCCAAAGGCCCAACAAGTTGCCTGCCGTATGCTTGGTTCCCCTACAGGGGCTTCGCCACTGAGGAAGAAGAATCTGGCACTTCCCCACAGTTGCATG